AATAATTTTGGTACCATTGGATTCCTCTCATTGAGATGAATCTAATGGTACCAAATTTATCTAATTTGGATTACTAGATCACAGGATAATCAAGATTTTGTAAAAATTTATATATAAATATACGGATTTTTAAATTTTTTTATATAGTTTAGAGAGAGGGTCAAGAGCTACTATGTGGGGGTACATAACATTATTTATGGATGCCCCCCTATTCACTCTTTGGCTATTTCTTTCAAAATAAGTTCTTGCCCAACATGTTCTGTTATTATTTCTTCTACTTGTGTATTTATTGCTATTGTTATGCTCTAGATATTTGCTATTATCTCTTTCATATCTTCTGGTATATCAGAGTTAATGTAACTTTATCTGTATATTTCTATATTTTTATGTATTTCTTTTAATTTTATCTTTGCTAATTCTACTAAAACAGGTTTTTTCCAGAGTATTCTGTTGTTTTTTTGCTTTATATGACTTGTTGTTTCCTGACTACTATTGTTTGTTGTTGTTGTTTGTTGTGGTTGTTTACTATTTTTGTTTACTTTCATTATATGGTTTTTGTTATACTTTCTTTGTTTACTTTTTATTATATATTGTGATTCTTATATTATCAAAACAGATCTGTAATTTAGAATCAAAACCAATTCTCCCAAAGTTCACAAAGTACAAAAAAATATTGATGATTTTTCACAACTTTTTCTATTTCTTTGCTGCTTCTGCTTTTTTTATTCAAGTTTCTTAAGAGACTGAGTGTTTCTTGTCATTCTTCTCTTTTTACTTAAGGGTTCAAGATTAGTTTTTTAGTGACTCTTGTGTGTTTTTATAGTTTTTTTTGTTAATTTTTGTTTTCAAAATTTTGTGTTTTGATGATTAGTAAAAAGAGTTGTTTTTTTTTTTTGTAAATCAACAATATTTTATTTTTTTATAAACTGTTTTTTGTTATAAAATTATAAAAATACCTTTCTTGACTACTTGAATATTTAGTCAAGTAAAGTAATTTGTTAATCAAGAATTTTTAATATTATATTACAATACTTTGTTTAATCTTGTATAATATAAAAAATATATATTTTAAAAATAATTTATAAGAGAAACAACCAAAGTTTGGTAATAACAAAAAAATATAAATTTAATTAAAAAAGTTAATAAAAGTAATAGTATAAGAAATATATAATAAATTTGTATTTATAAGGTGGATTTTATCTAAAGCTATCACTTTTTAATTATAAAATTTTTTAAATTGTTATAACTTTTTAAAAACAAAAGATATTTAAAATTTTTTTTAATAATTTAATAGCTTATTGTTTAAACTATTAAACTATTAAAAAATTTTTTGAATATCTTTTATTTTTAATTGGTGATTCGCCACTAGGGTGGTTGACAAGCTGGCGATTTCTTGCCATTTTGGCGAGGCAATAGTGATGAGACATGGCGAGCTAAAAAAAATATGTTGGCAAGATAGCGAGATAATATTACACAATATATATTAACATATTAAATATATAGTTATACATATATATACATACATATATACATATATATATATATATTGTGTATCAAATTAATATTTACGTCAGATTAAAATACTTATAATTCGCCAATATCTATTTGTGATTTAACACAAATTTTTACTCTAATTTTAATAAGATTCTAGTTAAATTTCAAATTTTAATTTGATGCATATATATATTTGATATATATTAAATTAAAATTTGTATTAGATCAAATAATTATTATACTACTTATATATATCTACCTTTATATTAATATAAATTGATCTGATACAAATTTAAATTTAATTTATGTATAATCATATTAAGAAAGATACAAGATTTCTATAGTTAAAGATACTAAATAAAGCAAGTATTTATCTGTTAACTGTACAATTTATATCAATTATAATAAAATATGCAAGCTGCCTTATAAAAGTTAGCTTTTAATAATTATAAGATGCATCAATTAATTAATTTATATATAATTATATTAAAGTTTTATATAGTGATAGTAAAGATAAGTGTTTTAAAATACAATGTTTCAATAGATTTTCTTATTGATTTTATTTTCATGTACTAATTTATAAAATATATGTAGTTAGAAGTTTAAATAATGTATATTAATAAACAATCAATAAAAACTTTTAATTAGTATAAGTATATTTTAATTTGAATAAGTCAAATTATAAAAATTAATGAACACAATTCAATTATAAAAGTGTATTTTTTCAAAGTATTTTGATTTATTCATAATTAAACATTTAAAATTTTAATTATATATTATTAACAAGATTTTCGCTTCTTTAACTATATTAAATAAACCGTATTATAAAATTATCAATAAAGTTAACTAAAATGGGCTCTTAGATCCAATTTGGGATGCTTTTAAAAAGACTGGATTGCATGATTTAAAGACAAGACAATACCCCATTCAATGCAATTACTGTAATAAAGATTTTGATAGAAGAGTTGATGCAATATATATTCATATAATTGATCATTGTAAAGATATTCTGCAACCTAATAGATTTAAATTTATTGAATTACAAGCTAAAAAAACTACAGCCTCTTGTATTAAAAGTAAAAGCATAGATAATGATGATCAAGATTCAGGTCAATTTTGAAAAAACTAAAAACTTCAAGTAATCAATCTCAAACAATAATAAATTCTTATTTTACTTGTCTTTTATCTAAAGATAATATTTTTTATTACTTGTAGTATTTCTTTTCGAATTATTGAAAACAAATGTTTTTGTGATTTTCTTGCATTTCTTAATATTAATTATTTACCTTCATCAAAATATAAACTTATTCGTAATTTAATTCCTAGAATTTATAGTCGAATTCTTTAAAAATTATAGATTCTTTAAAGTTTTGTAAAGATTTAATATTAATTTTTGATGGCTGGACAACTATTTCAAATAGTTCTGTTTATGCATTTTTTGCTATAACTAGTTATGGTGATATTCATATGTTGGGTTTAGAAGAATTTGAAAATCAATGTCATACAAGTAAAAATATTGCAAATATAACTATAAAGACAATTAATAAAATTGGATTAAATATAGAACAATTTAGTTGGATTGTAACTGATAGCCCAAATGTAATAAAAAAATGTTGCAAAATTATATCAGAAAGGTAAATTTTAAATTATTAATTTATTAATTTTAATATATGTTATTATAATATACTATATATAATTTTAATTTAATTTTATTTTTAAAACTTAAGATATCCTTGGATTACAGGTCTTGGAGGTGTGTAAAAGTTTTTTAGAACTCCTTTTACTATAAATAGATTGCTATCAATATCGTTTATCTTGATTTGTTCTAGTGGCCAAGGCCATGTGTGGTTGATTAGACTTTTCTTTTAAATCTTTTCCATGCCATGATGTAAGGTTTCTAGCTATCTGGCCAGCCTTTGGTTCTGTATAGCATTTGAGACAGAGCTATAGCAGCTGAAATTTTTCTCTTGTAATAGAGTTTTGTGCTGATAGTTTCTCTTTCTGTGGTAGCCCAAAAAGTATTGCTTGTAAGAAGTTTAAGTAGATGGTGAGAAGCCTGGCATCAAGCATATCCTTAAGAATAAGAGCTGATAGCCCTCCTTGTTTATAGTTGCATTAAAATGTTGAATATTGTAAAAGCATTTTTGAGTTGCTTTTAATCCAGCCTTTAATAAGAGAATCAATTTCATTTAGTTGTTTTCTAGTTGAGAGAAGGAGATAGACTGAATACCAGATCCTTAAGACAAGTAACATTTTGGTTGCAAGAATCTTTTTTTTGAAGGAGAAGTTTCTCTAAGACAGCTCCTAAATCTTGTTTTTGATTTTTTTAATTGTATTGCTCCAAAGGGCCTTATCAGGTTGACCACTAGAGTCAACTATAAAGCCTAAGATTGTGATACTGCTTTGAGTATTCTCTAATAAATTGAATCTGGATTGTTCAGCTAGTTCCACTCTATTGGCATTTGCCATAAGAGGAATAAGAGTAGATTTGGATTTGTTGACTAAAGCATTAGAGGCTTGCTCGTATAGAGATAAGATTTCTTGTAATTTGTTCCAGTCAGAAACCTGCCCAATACCGATTGAGAGATTATTTGTATATGCTGCAACTCTAAAGGTAGAGCTATTAACTAGAATACCTTTAATATTTTGGTCAATTGCTTGGATTAAAGGGTTGATAGCTAGTACATATAGAAGTGGAGAGAGGGAATCTTCTTGTCTGACCCCTCTTTCAACTCTAAAGGCCTCAGAAATAAAGCCTAAATTAACTATATAAGCCTTTTGAGTAGCTAGTAAAGAGCTAACGATGCTAGTGAATTTGTTGCTAAAATTTATTTGTTCTAGAACAAGCTTCAAAAACTCATGGTTTACTCTGTCAAAAGCTTTTTGTTGAT